TTATATGATGTAAAAGAAGATGATTGCACGCCCAAAACCTCGTGGATGGCCTGCGAGGTAAAGTGGGCACCCCTCTGGAACAAAACCATAAAAAAAAACATCACAAAAAAACGAGCCAGTGATTGTGACTCTAATTCCGAGTATTCATGAAAAGAATGCAATTGTGTTGAAGTGCGGTAATGAATGCGCCGGGCCTGGCGGGGAGCAGTACATGAAGCGCAGAGGTTTAAAGCACAGATCGTTGTGTTCAAATCTACAATAAACTCTGCAATACAAGTAATACCTTGCAAATTGGCAATAAAAAAAAACACCTATAGTTCTTTGTAATAATTGTTTGATTTTGTAACAATATATTCTCAGTAAAAATAATAATTGGATTTCACATACATCTATCACCTCATACACCACAGACAGACAAAACAAACTCAACACATTCATAAATGACACCGCCTTAAAACGAAACGTTTTAGGCAACGTTTCGGGCCAATGTCCCATCTTCATGGCACAGAAATGTTTCCCTCATTTTAATCTACTGCCCTCCTGAGCGCAGCCACATCATCCTCCTCAACGAACTCTCAGGCTTGACTCACCGTTCGGTGCTCGCAGGCACTCCGACTGCGCGTGCCCCAACTTCAAACCACCTATCGACAACCATCTCAAGGCAACTTTACTCTGACACAGCTTGGTAATTTCCCAATGCTAGCCCAACTAAAGTATTTTCCACAGATGGCAAGAGCACACTCAGTCTCTTGATCGTAGCAGAACCCTGGTTCCACCTGAAGACGGAGGCTTGTGTTGCTTCCGAAACGTCGTGAATTTTTAATTTGTCTTATTTTACTTTTATTAATTTAAAATTTTTACCTACGTGACTTTACCGAAAAAACCTAAGAGTCTGAACCCTGCCGTTTGCCTCTCTCTCTCGCTGATTGGCTCGTGCCATGTAGGCTATTCTGATCACCACTTTTGGATCACCACCATTCTGATCACCATCTTATCGTTTTTGCTCAAATTTCTGAGGTCTCCGCTCATCAAAACTAATCAGTAACAGGCAACCCATTCAATAAACCTAATAGTGTAACTAAATTAACTCATTTGTGTTAAAAGTAAAATGATAAAATGTTCCATAATACAGGTTTTTTGGGTTTGGTCGCGTAAATATAAATGTGTTATTAAACCTGCCACCACCCGACACAGCCAATTAGTAAGGTTTGTCACGTAAATAGACTATGCCAAATCGTTACTAGTACAGCACACCGGTGTATTGGAGAGCAAATCCACAACATTTACAATGGATCATATTGGTCGTGAAAGCTTAAGTGTTAAGCTTAAATGTTGCTGGCACATTGCATTATGGGTAGAACTGTTGCAGTGATGTGAATGCATAGTTCCCTTAGTGATACGTTCTTTGCACACAATTATCATTTCAATATGATTCGAGCAGCTCTCAATAAATGCAAGGACCAAAGGACAATTGCCACTGTTTGAAATTCCTGAACCTTGTAAGAGGAGTAGAGGATTTTTTGGGTAGATAATAAAAAAATGTGTTATCTTTGTCTTTTAAGTCATTGCTGTCCAACCTTATTGAGAAATGTTTTGGAAACAGATATGATCCTGCAAGGGGTATAAGCTTTGTCTAGCGCTCAATAATAAAGGAATGTTTTAATTTAAGGTGAGGAGGCATTGCGTCCTACCGGATGAACGGTATTCCGTTTGGATATCAGGCAGCCTTCTATACTTTTCTCGTCTCATTTCTGTCGTAACTCAAGAGGAGGCCACGCACTGACACGTCACTGCGGATATGGGCCCCGCTGTTGAAGTGGACATGATGTCTGCAAAGCGAGCTGAGAGAAGATGTTGGGCACATCTATCGCCGAGGCATTTACCAGTTTCCCCGATGCAGTGAAGGACACAGCGTCGGCGTGCTATGCAATAAGTCAGTGGTGGCAGTGCATGTAAACCTATTGACAGTCACTGCATAGCACGCTTTCAGATGCGCTTCTGCGGCCATCTGGAACGCACTTCCTTCCGATATTTGGAAGCCACTGGAGCCATACACTTTTAAATCTAGATTGAAAACTAATTTCTTTAACCCTGCTTCCGCCACACCTCCAAGTAGCACGATTGGGTACGTACGGTGTGAAATAAGTTCCACATATCTTCTTGGTTCTTTCAGTAAAGTCACGTAGAAGGGAAGTAATAAAATAATACAAATAAAACATACTAAAATAATTCTCACGACGTTTCGGCCACAACGCAAGCAGCCGTCCTCAGGTAAGAAGCACATCCTCAGGTGAGGACGGCTGCTTGCGTTGTGGCCGAAACGTCGTGAGAATTATTTTATTATGTTTTATTTTTATTATTTTATTACTTCCCTTCTACGTGACTTTACCGAAAGAACCAAGAAGATGAATCCCTGCAGTCACAAAAGCTTTAAATCGAAACTTCCACATACATACATGCTGTACATACGTGCGTCACAAATTATATTCTGGGTGTTTTGCTCCATGCATCAATTGATGTGAGGATACCCGATATGAATCTCATCCCTTGGCATGGGGAGGTGCCTATGTAAGTGGCCTTCCTGGTGCTTCACATATAGCCGTGTGCTTACCGGCAGATCCCCGAAGTTTGTGTTTCTGTGGAGTTCACAAAGAGGTGGTTCCTTGAAACATGTTGGCAGTATAATTTGTATCACTCCTTAGGTTGTGAAATTTATTCGTGATTATTGTTTTTCTAGCCAGGCTGGATGGGTGATATGTTAGGACGGTTGGCACACTGCCCTGGGTCTCTCTTTTGACCGGTTTCATTGCCGCTTCACGGCCGTATCAGACAGTCCTTCAACCTGTGCCAGAGGTATCAACAAAGATTGCTATTAACTTCAGAAGTTTGTGGCAGGAAATATGGGGGAGAGCTGAACTATGCCAGTAAGATTAAAGACGGTTGAGAATGTGTTTAGGGAAGAGTGCTGCATTGTTCCAGAGAACATGAGCCTTGCTCATCTCTTTTGGCAGCCCTGAACCATCATTGTGAAGAAAAAAAAATTCAAATAACAATAACAATGCCATATGCATTGTTTCCGCAGAATTTTTCAACAAAGCGCTTGCCCTTGGAATCACGTGATTCTCGATAACAGTGGTAGCGCTCACACCATGTGCACACGGAGCAGTTTGTCCGTAAGCCGCAGTGAAGCATTGGGGCTCATATAGAAGCTCTGCAATGGGGATCGGATAGTGACTCTGCCATGGAGAATGCAGGAGAAGTTTTGTTCAATGTGGCCACAACACAGCCACATACTCACGTTGTGTCCACATTGGTTCATCTTTCAAAGAGTTATTGTGCCCTCGATACAGACAGACCTAATGTTTTAAACTGTAGTCATAGAGCATTATCAACAGTTTATTTTCTTTTTTAGGACTACCACCGTTGAAATTATTACAGACCGGTACCCATTTTATACACCGTGGAGAGGTAATCAGCTGAGTCGGCCACCAACTGGGATATGATTGTGAGCCAAGCGATTTAAGCACAGCACCCACCCAGCTTGATATAGGTCTATATTGCATTACAAAGCTGGTCAACGCTCCATTTATGCATCCAAGTTACTGACCCTGAGGCCCATTGCAATGCCCTTTGTCCCCATTGTCAGGGACGGGGGGAATATGGTGAGCTTCCAATTCAAGTTGACAGTAACCACGGCTCCCTGGTTTTAAAAGAAAAAAAGATGTCTTCAAAGAAAGCTTGTTTTTCTTCTTTCCCTGCTCAGCTGCCACCAAACCACCCATCATTATGCGCCTTCGTATTTTGCTTCACAATCTCTGGACCCACAACCCACGCAGACTTGCCGCTGCAGAAAGAAGTGCCCAGAGGAAATCAGCGCACCGTTACACAACACGGCCGACCCAGATAAGACGGAATGAAAAAGTGTTTCCGTGCGGCATGGAGCTCATCCTGACTTTTGTAAGACTTGAACTACACTGTGATATTCCAGCACGCACTGCACTCACAGAGAAGCCAAGAGTCAAGCGCCCAGGCCAGTACTTTCCGTTCCTGTGATAGGATTACACAAAGCTTAACGACGTGCAATGTTACCAGGGAATGACAAAAAAAAATTAGCAAAGGCGAGAAAAGAAAGGTTGTCCCAGCTTCAAAGGTATTTCAACACTGCTAAGAAAAGTTAGCGAGACATTTGGGATCTTAACGTATGTTTAACAACTTTGGCACTTTTTTGTTAAATGGATGAACAGGAGGATTCAAAATTCATCATAACCAAGCTCAAGCCAATTAACATTAAATACATATTTAAATACTTGGGCCATGTACGGAGATTGAAACTCAAGAACCCCTTGCCTTCAGAGAAAACATGAATTTACCCTGCTCATGATCCACTCTAAAAACCCGTGTTCACGAAAACACCCAACTCTGCAGACATTCATTGATAGCCCTTGCAGTGAAATGCTTAACAGTGAACAACAACAGCGAGACAGACATTTATACCTGTGCAATGACAATAGAGCCTGCATGCTGTGTGAGGGGACTAATGGCCAAGGGAGGTAATGACAGGGGAGTCAGCCTGCAGTGCGAGTGCACTAGTGGCCACGGGAGGTAATGACAGGGGCATCAGTTGTGAGTGCGAAGGGACTGGTGGCTACGGGAATGATCGAGAAGGGAGCGTGGTCAGGTGAGGCAAGAGGACGGTGGAGTCTGCCGGTGGAGCGAGCGTCCAGAGTCAGCGAGAATGATCGAGAAGGGGGGCGTGGTCTCGTGTTGGTATATAAAAGTGAGATGCGTGCGAGACTCGGGGCTGTTGCAGTGGGGATCTCCGCCTGATGTCAAGTGAACGCATCTTCAATAAAGTGTCAAGTCGTTATTGCACCTGAACGGAAGTTACAAAGGGTGAGCCACAACGCCATCTTTCCCAAGTCCCCAAATTTCAACAGCAATGCGACGATCTGTGAAGCGTACTAAAGAGTAATTACCATCTCACAGTACGCCACCCTCACCTGTGCACTTTCTGCTGCTGAGTTCTTGTTTGGTGTTCAGCTTCCCAAGTTTGCACTGGAAGTTCTCCTCCCAGAATTCCGCGAACCACACATTCCTACGGTTGTTTTCCAGCTTGCGACTGCGGAAGTATGTATCAAACCCTGTCAGGCGAGAACAGATGTACAACCACAGACAATTTTAGATATTACAGTATTTAGGAACAACACTTTTTTTGCTGGAATATTATAACAAAAACTAAAATTACCACCCACATACCAAGTTCTAATCGCTAACTTTTCTGCAATCTGTTAATTAAAAGAAAAAGTTGCATTACACAGCACGAGTTCCAGATATTTATTGCCGTGTTAAATACTTGTGAGTAATCATGTAACAAAAAATCTAAATATATTGCATTGGGAGATCATCGTTTTGAGGAGGCCTCCATCCAGCATTGGATTAACCATGGGCGATGATGATACTGATACGAATCATGAATTTGACTCCACAGGGTATATTATGTCGAATAATACTAGAGTCTTGTTCAGTTTTTTTTTGGCCAATACATCGATTATTTTTCGTGTGATTGTAATCCAGAATGTGTGGAAAACGGCCGCACAAACAACTGCATCTCCATCCACCATCCTCACCCCACAAGTTTCTCAATCACAGCCATGCACCCCGACCGCGAAAATGGATGCATTTGACCGGTGACGTCTGCGATGGTTACTCTGCATCCGCTTCAGCGAGCAAATTCACCAACAGCACCCGAGGTCCGCCGTCGGAACAGCAACTCCGGCGGTGAACGAAGTGGTCGGAGGTCAGTGGTCAGGTGACTTCGCCTATTTATATGCCCGGGTGGACGCCTCCTCGACCGATCGCCACCAGAGCCCTGTGCCAACACCGTTAATGGCGTCGGTGGCAGCACTACCGGGGGACTGGAGCCGACCTCGGGGAAGACCGCGAGGTTGACGTGGACACGCATGGAAACCGTTGACGCTGCCGTCAAACGCCGCATTCTATTATTCATTTATTTTTACTGGGTAAGGCCCACTGAGCTGCACATAGACATTTTTCAGAAACGACCTGGTCACAAATGACAGCTCAACGAAGTGGCTTATCGTGTGGAAATGTATACTAGCGGACAAATACTCTGAACGCGTGTTGGTTTTAAATGTAGAGGGAAAAGCCAGAGGACCCAGAGAAAAATCCATGCGACCACGGGGAGAGAGACAGGCAAACTCCAAATATACAGCAGCAGGCGTCAGAGTTAGGATCAAACCCACGACCTCCTTCATACCTGACAAGGTCGTTAACATCTCGCCAACACGGCGAGATGTGGAGCACTCTTGCCAATTACATCTGGCAACCCAGCAGTATGTGTTTAACGAGCAATTATTTTCTTAACCATTCTGCTTTTTTATTACCGTATTTATGTTTTCTTATTGCAGTGTTGTTTACTTCATATTTATTTGTACAAATACAATATATGTATTGTGATTGGAAGTTATCTGCTGGTCACCTTTTTTCCTCATGAAGATACTTGCAAAGATAATCAGGAGCCCTCGCAATGTTCCATACGACCACAGGGAAAACATGCAAACTCCAAATATACAGGTGTTAGAGTCAAGATCGAACCCACGACCGCCAGTAAACAAGGCGAAGTAGTTAACATCTCGCCACCGTGGCTCAGCACGGCAGCGTGCTCGAGGCAGGGGTCACCTGGTGGCACCTCGTGGGGAGCGTTGCACTCCAGTCAGGAGCAAGCGACTGATGATGTCCACGACCACGACTCTCATTGCCACCAATCGACGGTATTTAGCATGCACAGCACTTAACACACTTAAGCCATGGGCGACATGTTCCAGACTAGGTCTGTGCATTAATTGTGCAGAGTGGCATATGGCATTGCCAGGCATGAGGGTTCATCTGTTACTTATCCAGCCGCAGCCCACCACTGTGACACCTGTTACAATGAAAGTTAATGGTGTGATGAATATGTCCCCTTGGAATGATTTTTCTTGCAGGAAACAGGTGGCGTTTTCTGCCGTGAAAAATGATGTGTTACCACCAGTGTCTCTCCCTGAATGCTCTGGAAATAATTATCTGGTACAATGTCCGACAGGCAATCTTGGAATAACTATGTTGAAATCGAAAATTTTTGCCTTTGCTAAATTTCCGTTATTGATGCATTATTTCAATAATTGTCTGTATTTATTCTAGAAAAAAAATCCACACACGTAAAAATAATTATCATCTAAAAATGCAAAGCGTTCGTACAATGACATTTCAAAAGATGGCATAGCTCATTGAACGTGATTTTGGATACAAGTTTTATTTTTTAAGTTGAATTTTTAAAAAAATAAATCGAAGTGTCTCCACGTTTAAAATTAGTATTGAGAGCTGCTCATCTCTCTTAAGGCCCACAGCCAATGGTGGTAACATCCATATTTTTACGACTCCCTACAACGTTGTACTTATTCTGTTCACTTTCCAAGGATTGTGAGCTAAGGATACGTGCCTAATTTATTAGGGTTCCAGTTGTTAGGGAGCACGAATCGTGATATTGCTGGCATGGCACACAGAGGGCTGTTAGGGTTGTTAGGGAGGACATTTAGTGATATTGCTGGCATGACACGCAGAGGACTGGTCACGTTAGGGTTGTTATGCAGCACAAGTCGTGATATTGCTGGAATGGCACACAGATGACTGGTAGGAGCCAGCACCAACCACACCGACCCACTTATGCGTTGCATATTGTTGGTACTGATCATAATGTTTGCACATGCATACAGATACTGCACAGATACTAATGGGCAAATATAACATACACATACTTGATAACTACCATAGAATGTCCTAATTATTGAACTAAATACAGGAAACGTTTTAAAAATAATCATGTGCATAGCCACCAATTCGTTATCTAGTGCCTCTTGTCAGTGTTACGTTAATTGGTGTAGAGTGGTTGACGTTAAAAAAACACCCAATTACCAATGCATAACTTCGGTGGACAGAAACGCCACTCATCATTCCACGATACCAGCGATCAACCAATGCGATTAAACATGATGTGCTATTACAAGTGTGTGTGTGTGCGTGTATAATAATAATAATGACAATATGAGGTATGGGGAAAGTCAATTTTCCGGACCTGTGAGCATTAGCACTGCTGGAGGAAAGTGATCTTACACACGTAGCAGAACATAACCTTGGGGAAAGCAACGGATTCAATGACGGGGGGCGTGGGGTTGGGGGGGGTCAGGAAACATGGAGGGGCAGGTGTGCGCATTGTCTGGGGACTGAAACATTACCAACATCCAGATCCGTCGCATTGCAGCACACCCACCCTGGCACCAGTGGCATTGCTAGAGCCGTGCAATGTTACAAAATGAGGTCTGACACAGGTTATGAAGCTACCCCCCCACCTGCCAAGTGGTGCCAATAGAGGTTGCCGAAGCGTGGATGTTCTACTCCTGTTTCGTTTGCGTCCGCCACGCAGCTGCACAACGTAAAGCAATGTTGGTTTGCCGGCGGACTTCCAGAAACAACATGAACGTAATCAAGGGGAAGGTACTTTAATAAGAACAACTGCGCCGTCACGCAACAGCGGTTCTTAACATTGGTCTTCATGACCCCAAACACAAGCGCAAGGTTTCACATCAATCAAGTCTCCTTCATCGAAACGCAGGCCAGGTACGAGTGGGCAAATGAATAAGGGTAAAACATAACGCACGAATGTTGTTGGCTGGCATGGATGGCAGGGTTGCCAGCACTACAGCTGACCATGGCTGATTGAATTATCGGTTTATATTCGCGAAAAGAAGTGTGCCTCACTGCTTAATTTAGCAGAGCAACTCTTAACGCCAATGTCCATGTAAGCCACCGCTAAAGAAACACCGTACTATAGGTACTTAGGTTGAACTTCTATCATCACCCGTACGTAGCCAACCGTGCTAATCGTTGGTGTGGGGGAAAAAGACAACACACTAGACGCAAAAAGCAGTTGTAAAGAAATTAGTTTTCAGTCGAGTTTAAGTGCGTAGCTCCAGTAGCTTCCTGATATCAGATGACCGCAGTAGCGCACCTGAAAGCATGTTATGCAGTGACCATAAATTGTTCGATGGCTAGTGAAAAGCATCTGTTAGGTTGCCCATAAGCAGCGATGCCTGGACTGCAGAGAACATGAAGCCTATTCTTGATTCTTTCGGTCACGTAGAAGGGAAATAAAAAAATACAAAAATAAACATAATAAAATAAAATTCTCACGACGGTTTGGCCACAACGCAAGCAGCCGTCCTCAGGTGAAGAACAGAGCTGTCGTGAGAATTTTATTTTATTTTGTTTAATTTATTTTATTTTACTATTTCCCTTCTACGTGACTTTACAGAAAGAACCAAGAATATGAATCCCTGCAGTCACGAAAGCTTTAAATCGAAACATGAAGCCTGCCAGGTGGCACAGTGGTAGAGCAAGTGGCTCTTAAGCAGTAGGATATGAGTTCGAATCCTGGTTGAGGGCTTATCTCGGCCCATCATCCCTCTGGGATTAATTAATAAAATGGGCACCACTTTGCAGGGAAGCTCTGAGTGGCTACTCTACGGAGAGATTCGCCCTTACCATAGGAATATGGAACTTTCATCAACGACTCAGGGCTGTAAACAGGAGTTAAGTGCTGCCTCAGTGCTCTTTGAGATGGAAATCATATTGACTTTTTTTTGCTTAAGCGTAAAAGGTAGCATGAACACAGGATGAAAGTACCAATCCATCTGTTCTGTATTACAAGTATTACAGAAATCGCAAGAAAAACTTTCTTTGCTGAATGATACTTTCACAAGATGAGTGACCACCAGCAAATACAAGCCACCGTTCTTCTGAAAATCAGGGTCCTTAGGATACCACACCAATTGAATAACACTTTAGCGCTGCTGCATCATTGTCATTAGTATTATTATACAAAACCAACTGGGCAAAACAACGCGTTATAGATTCAGGGAAGAATGCTCTCCTGCAGCTGCACCCGCTGTTTCTTTTGTGAAGGAACGAACGGCAAGTCCAGCTGCAAGGGCACACGCAAAGCGGTGAACCGCGAAGCCACAAATGTCAGTCAATAAAAAGCTCCCTGGCATTTTCTCAGCGGAAGCTCCACTTACTGAAGCGAGTGCTCGCACAAACCAATCGCACTGCGTTAAGGAACGCCAATTGTAAACCGCCCAGGAACTCAGGCATGCAAAGGGCATACCCCTGGGATGTGGAACCACGTAAACTTTTCGGTTTGTTTTTGTGTAGTTTATCATTTTTGCAGGGACGGTCTTTTTTTCTCTCTCTTCAATTTGCTGTTCTTGAACGGTCAATATACACATCCTTTTGAGGAAAGAAAAGTGTATAAACAACGTAAGGGGCCGTCCATAAATGACGTCACGCGATTTTTGACGATTTTGACCCCCCCCCCTTCATCACACGGCGTCACAAAAAGTCAGACCCCCCTCAAATATGACGTCACAAAGCTCTGCCCCCCCCCCCCCCAAAAAAAGGAAAGCATGCTTCAAATCGCTTTAAACTATTGTCATTGTAGTGCGTGTTTAATATGGCGCTGCACTCTGATGTTGTAGGAGAAAACATGTATTAAAAAGTCAATTTAGTTAAGTAGAACGTGTTTTCTATATTTATTTAAAGTTGCGCATTTTGATGTGACGTCACATTTCTCAAACCCCCCCCCCCCCCTCGTCACACATCGTCACAAATGTCTGACCCCCCCCGCCCCCCCTAGGTGCGTGACGTCATTTATGGACGGCCCCTAAGTAGGTTCTTACCCGATACTATAAATAATAATTGGTTTCAGATAATAGTAATAGTTTACAATCCCTTGTCAATCCCCCAATACCGTGTCAATTGAGGGTTGGTTGTTAAATCATATTTGACCGGACTGGTCAGTGTGGATTGGTGGGGGTGGAGAAAGTCCAGGAATGGCTCATATGAAGATATACACTTCAAAGCGCCACGTGATTTGCCGTAATTGGCACAAATGTACCACGTGATAACAATGGCATGAGTCAAATCGGCTGGGCTCACACAGTGCAAAGTGCCTCCAAGTTGGAAATTTTCTTTTGGGGGCTTAAATTGTTGACATCTGTGATGCGCCATGTGTCACAGTGCGGCACATTATTTCTATATGATATCAACACAATGGCAGGTCAGTGTTGCAACTCATGTAATATTTAGATACAAAGAAAGAGATCACCCATATAGCCTTTAACAAACTCTCGGGGCAAGTGGTGTTAGCAAGCACCTTTGAAGGGTTGTACGGCACAAGAGAGGGTGGACAACATTACTTTTAAACTGATTTGAGGCTGAGTCGACTTAGGGGAAGCCTATGACCGGCAGAGATAACAATTATAATCGTAGCGCACTAGCCGCCACGCTACTAAATTCAGGACAAAGACACAAATCCCCCGAATAACCTTAACAGACTTTTGGGGCAAGTACTGTTAGCGAGCACCCATGAAGGCCGGCACGGCATACGAGGGGGTGGGTGGCCAACACCACGCGCGGCCGCATTTGTCTCCCTCGTGACAATGTTTGCACATCGCACCAGGTACTCATTTGAAGCTGAGTCGACCACGGGGAGGCCCAGGACCGGTTGAGATAATCGTCACCGGTGTTGGCCGTGAACGGGATATCGAACTCGGTTCGCCAGGTTGTCACCGCAGCGCGCAAGCCGCTACGCGACTAAATACAGGAACACATTCCGGCACGCGCACGCAAATACATAATACATACATGGCAACGCGATGAATACAACTTGCACAAATATCCCGCTGCTGCAATCCCCATTGGATCAGCATAACAGTTTCGGCACGGGGCGCTTTGGTGCAGTTTTCTAACCTCTCGTTCCTGTCCTTGGGGGTTATTGGTGTTTGTGCGGCGCGCTGACAAGCCGTCACGGAAAAGCGGGCATTGTTATACAATGTGAAACCAGCGGGGTTGATGGAGGCTGTGATCATACTTTGCAGTCCGATCAGAACACCCCCCCAGAAACCATAACCCTGTCACCTCGTGTCCCGGACAAAAGCAGGGCGATGAAATAAACCACTCGCCCTGACCTTGCCTTTCTGAGGCTGCCCAGCTGCCAACACGGACCCCATTGGTCACCCGCGATCTCACACGCGGCAGAGGACGTTCTTGAATAGTGAGCGGCCGCTGCACGTGTCTCTGCTAAGAGGCCAATGATCCATTAGTCTCAAGATGCTCGACACCAGCCGTGACTTTGATTTGTGAATCTGCATGCTGTTTTTGCATTCTGTGCACACAATGCGTATTTCATGTTGTTGTTGTTGTTCTAGTATATACACAGCATTGCTTGCGTCTCATTTTATGGATGGATTGCTTGGGCTTTTCTTTGTTTATTTTTCAACCTGAATGTATTCTAAGTTTAAAATAGCTCTCGATATAAATTCAGTGACCTTTATCCAGGTGAGAGATCATTGTGATCCGTGACTTATTTTGATAAAGAATTACAAGGATTAGCAAAAATATATTCTTCGCTTTAATTAATTTGTTAAACATTGTATTTTTATTAAGTCTTTTTTTAAACAAGCGCAGTGTGGGTTTTATTCTTGTATATGTAGTGATGTTAAATGAATCACTAAGGCTAACACACCGTGCAGCACCATTCAGTGGGCCACTAGGGGCATGTTTCATGGGTGCTCGCAGAAGGAAGGCAGATGAATCCTACCAACAGAGTAGGTGATAGCAGCCTTCACCAGCGCCGCAGGGAATCTCCACAGAGTCGGTCACTGGGGGAGTGTGGTGGGGGCGGCTGGCGGTAGAGGGGCATGTGAGGACATGTCACCCCGGCACCGAGTTAAGCACGTGATGGGCCTGGGTGAGGAAAGTGGGCCACGGGTGAACGAGGGGACACGGGAAGAGTCGCTGAGAAACGTCTGGAGAGTTCCTCGAAGGGGGCATAGTTAAGGGTGGAGCCAGAGAGGGAACAGGTGTGGTGTAGCCTGGAACCGTCGGGAATATTCCAGAGGTAGGCGCGGCCGAGGGTGGAGCCAGGCCGCACTGAGAAGGATTAAAGGGGAGCTCCGATCGTATATCGGGGCTGTCTGCAGGTGAAGTGGAACCCAAGTGCTACGTCTCCATCTTCGACATCGTGGGTCAGACAGCACGCTGGCTGCTCTGACCCGATTATAGGTATCATGCATACGAGAGGAATAGGTGTATTGTGGTCCCATGTGTAACACGCGTGAGAAGTAGGTGCATTTAGTTCCTCTCGTGCCCAACATTAGGCGCCCCCCAACAACCTAGTTGTAGAATAAACGTTGTTGCCTCCTAAATAGTGGCTCTGAATTGACTCGCTACATATGGATAATCTGGCCACCACCTTCGGAACATCGAATTTCTACCACAGACTCAGGGCCATGGTTACACAGTGGCATTTGACTTTTGCATCTTTCCACAGAGAGTCAAGTACTAACATTATTTTGGCACAACAGGGCATGGCACTTATCGATTACTAAACATCATCAGGGTACCCAACTTTCCCTTTACAGAAGATGATATGATATTTCGGCAAATTCCCGCAGAAAATAACTGGCAGCTATAGGAATCCTGCTGCGGTCTCATTGCAAACTAAATTGGCTCAGTGGCAAAGCACAATAACCCCGAAGCTATCAAGATGCCCCAAAATAGCTCAGGATAGGAGATGTCAAAAGCTCGTAGCCTGGAGGCAGTCGGATGACTCAGGCGGCTCATAATGCTAGTGTCAGAGCACTGAGCCAGCGCCGATGAAACGCTGGGTTTGAATCCGAATGGTCGCCTGTGATGAAATCACGTGTTCAATCACAGTGAACTGATGGTGTCAGCTTCGTCACCAATTATATTATTGCACGGATGTAGTGGCATCAACGATCCCTTATACTGCTTTAATCTCACATTTTTTGACATTGTTCATGATGTTTTTTTTTCACGCGGTGTTATTCCAATTGCGCGACCAGAAAAGTGTGTCATAAGTGACCATCCCGAACGCATCAGCCCATATTAGAGAATGGTACACAGAAGTAGATATCACAGAACGACCATTAAAGTCACCTCTTACCACACTCAGGGTGCTTCCATTTTCCCCAAGTTCTGAGACAAAATTTGTTCATTGAATGGGAAATCACATGTTTTTTTTTTAACTCACGCTCATGTTTCTAAATAGAGTAAACAAAATAGATAATATAATATTATACGTTTTTGTTTGTGCAATCATTGATGACCAGGCCGAGACCATCAAGGCACACACTTGAGAATCCAGATGAATCACCGGTGGCTACCCAGATTCGAACGTAGCCTCCCGGCAGCGCTGGCTTCAGTGTTCATGACCCCTCAGCCACCCGGCCGTCTCAGAATCCTAAACATTTGTTTTTCCCCAATCAAGCATATCCCAGCTCTGAGGGCTGAATTATATAGCAAATGACTGACAAATAGCAAAACGCTTCACAGAACACGAAGGTCAAATAATGTTGGGCACGAGAGGCCCTTTGAAGTGAATTTCAAAGTAGCTCTGCGGTATAAATTTCTGCTGGCAGTACACCGACACAAAGCTCTGCAGATTGAAGGAGTTTCACAAGACCATTCCTTTGTCTCCTGACACATCGCTGATTGAATAATTTGGGGAATTTTTGTATTTCTATAGAGACCAGGGGCTGGCCAGGTGGTATTGCAGTTACATCACTCAACTCACTATCACGAGCTTGTGAGTTCAAATCCCGTGTCTCTTTAAAGCGAGTGCCATTTTGCGTGAAGTCAAGGATTGCCGTCCATTGCTTAAGAGTGGCTCCTGCCATACCAATGTGGAATCCCCCCCCAACCCACCCCCTTGATTGGCTCGGGGCTGTATAGCAGAGATGAGGGCCTCCGCATTGTTCGTTTTGAAACGGGGAGACGCTTTTGACCTGGACATTTGAAACAAGGCATAACAACAACAGCAACAACAAAAACAAACCAAAAACCGAGCTGCTTGCCTGGGACAGTCTCGCTTTGCGGGTAGATGGTGATGGCACCGTCTGCCACTTCCTGCTGGTTCAGTGCAGGGCCCAACTTGACTCCCCAGCTGTCCGAGCCAAGCCACAGAAAGTGCTCCGTTTGGTTTGCCCTGCGCGCCGCTCCCAGGACGCGTCTGCGCGTCCGGTCGTTCAGCAGGGACAGGAAAGGAGAGAGTAGGAAGAGAGGGAGAGAGGGAGAGATGGGGATGGAGGAGGTGGGCGAGGATTAATTGAGCTCCACTTTGAGGCAGTGGCAAAACAAGGCAGCTGTGATTGGCATGGCTGTCTGAGCAATGAGCAACAGAGTAAGGGATTCATATTCTTTGGGTCTTTCGATAAAGTCACGTGGATAGGTTGAAATAGATAAATAAATAACAACATATCTACGTGACTTTACCTAAAGACCCACAAAATATGAATCCCTGCAGTCACGAAAGCTTTAAGTCAAGAGTAAGGGATGTTTTCAAAGGAGACATTTCAAAGCGGCCGTGCGTGAAAAGTTAAGTTCAGAAGGATTTGATATATTAACTACATATAGATAATCAACATAGGAATGTATTATTATCATCAATGGTTTTGGACGAACAGTGTAAATGATTACTGGAAATGTAACGTGTTACTTAAAAAATGTAGACCTTGCTATGGCATTATTTCTAACTACATATAGATAATCAACATAGCAATGTAGTTTTATCATCAATGGTTTTGGACGAACAGTGTAAATGATTACTGGACATTTAACGTGTTACTTCAATAATTGCGGCCTTGCTAGTGCATATCATTGCATTTTCACATGTATGTCTAGCTCGATGTGTATATGCATTGATTTTAATCTGCTCATATTCAATATCTTAAACCAATAAAAGCGATATATTTTTTTTCTTTATCTCAATGCTATGACACACACACACAGCTATATGGGAGTGGAGTGGTGGAGCACTATATTACACACCGCACCATTGACCCAAATGCCAGAGTTATTTTCTAACATCAGCGGCACATTATAATTGAATTGCGTTTGGGCAAGCCCCCCTTCACCAATCTGCACTGACCGGAGGAGTGACGTTATGGTCGAAACATTATCGTGACCAACAGGGCACGGGAAGGCCTACATCCAGCAGTGCATTGACAAATGGCTGTGCATCTAAATTGTACACACATACATCGTGTCTGAATAAGGCATGCACGTTCATACAAATAAACATACCATTTGTACAAGGGTTCATACACAAAAGTTAATTAACATTTGACATAAGACAATAAATGCAAGCTGACGAGAAAAGCATAACATAGGCACCTTAACGATATCTGGAAACACGTACCAAAATGCAGACATACACAAAGAAATAGGTACTTCCTTTTATCCCCACATACAGTTGCAGTAAGTGCTGTTAGTAAGCACCTATTAAAGCAGGAATAACACATGAAATAGTAGTGTGGGGAGGATGTTTTCATTCTCGAGTCCCGATGTTTCTACACCACACCAGGTCCTCATTTGAGGGCGCGTCCACCCAGGCACAGCCCAGGACAGGATTAGACACCGCTTGTCACCGTTATCATCCACGGTCAGGAATCGAACCCGAGCTCACGGCGTAACCAACCATCTTGCCACCAGTCCACGCACGCACACGAGCACGCCACTGCTATCCGACATCCCATCACCGTGGCATGCCACCATCAACTGCTGACGTTTCATTGCGCCCAGACATATTGCCTTCATTACCACTTTTGTGCGCACCTTTGTACCGGTCTCCGAGCCACCGCGGGCATTGATATATCATTCCATTCCTGCCTGCAGCCGGTTGCCGTTGACCGTCAATACGCCGCGTGATAAGATAAATCAATGAACACGCATTCCCTCACTTTTGCTGCAGTATTTTGCCATTACCAAATTTGAGAAGCGGCACAAATCACGTTCGCCGAAAAGGATATAATGCTATCTATATTCATTTACCGGCGGCACACACAAAGGCACCGAGAGTGGCACAGAACATTTTTTCAATTGTGGCTCTAAGAGACAGAAGATTACCTTATGGATTTGCTCACGGACGCGCTTACGCCGTGTAACGAGAGGTAGTCTAAACCGAGACGTGTTAGCAGCTGCTCCTGTAATCTTTGTATACGGCAGTAGAGGTGGTGGGTGGTGGTGGTGGTGGTGGTGGGGGGAGAAACAAAATGAGAAACTTGCAATTACAAAAGCCATCATAGCAGCATCCGAAGCTAACGTGTTTCAATAACCTTTGTCAAATCCATCCGTGCGATATTGTATTTCCACCAACTGCCCCCTCTCACCCCCCGTCCTTACAAAAAAGTTATCGTGATATAAATTCACAGACCTTGCATGTGCCGTTGAAAAAAGTGCTGCATAGGATTTCCTATTGCAAAGATTAAAACTACACTTTGATTTATGGTACTGTAGCCATTCCAAAAAAAAACGAAATAATATTACGAAAATAATCAGTGATCATGATATAATTTTAGAGGTCACTCGGGTTAACCTCGTCCCATCAAGAGCTAGACGCTTCATATCATCTGTAGACCATAGGACTACTGCAACAAGTGAAACACTCAACACGTTTGTGTTAACATTTTATGTGTACAGAAAGGTGAAAAAAAACGTGTTAAGCTTCTGCAGCTTGGTGTCACCGATTATCTGACCAAGTGAAGTCAGTGCACCGAGGATTATTAGTTGGGGCACAATCCCTATCACCGTGACTAATGCTTCAGATACAATGTTAGCATGTGCACTGTTAAAACATAATAAGCTAGCTCCCTACCTGCCAACGCGTTTAATCAATTGTGCCAGATCAGAGCGCGTCGGTGAACAAAGTATGAACAAATGTGGACTTGAAATTATTTATTGATGTTTGATGCCACAGCACTGGCAATAGTGATAACACTGCTAATAAACAAGCAGAAAACATATCTACTTCATATGTGTCCATTTACGTAAACACATATATATATTACACTTCCCCATCAACCACAAGACCTTCTGGGAGTGCATCATTTAAACCGCATTGCATCAACACAAATCATTTCCTGTTGTTCTAAGTAGTTTGAAACGATGATTTGCAAAGGCAGTTTTGCTGATAACCGGTGGTGTTTGTGATATGTGGCAAGGGTCTCGGCTATGGAGAATACTCTATGTTCAGCTCCTCACTGAACACATGCCTCTTTGGCATCGGATACAAGTGCGGTGTCTACATCACGTGTGAACTTCGTACTCCTTCGCAGCTCTCCGATGTGTTTTCAGGTTGTGCAGTACTCCAAGGACGTGGAGCAAAATGTCAGACATCACGCGGAACCGCAATCCGCGGAACGAGCCAAAAGTTCGCAACGGGGCCTGCCATAGCAGCAGGACGACCGCGACAATCCTACACGGCAAGTGTTGACTTAATAGACAACGAAATTGAATACCAGCCGTAAGAAGTGTAATATTTCTCGCTTCACATAATGGCATTCAGCACAAACAAGTGATAAGGTTTGGGAAATGTAGTAATTTGAAAATGTACATAAACACCAAATGAACAAATATTTTTTGTTATAAAAAATTCAAAATGACTGAACCACTCTGCATATAGATGTAGAACTAATCGGTTTTGAGTGGAGTGAACCTGATTAACATTTAAAACTGCACATGCAGAGAGACTGAGGAGGAGGTGAGAAAATGTTTTCAGTTAATTTGCCATCCTCTCAACTCAGCAAAAGATGTAAACACACACAAAAAAACTATGCCAATGTCATTAGGAAATTAATAGGCAGCATAATGGATGCACCATGTGCGACATGGTTTAACAAAACGTGGATATCAAACAGCCACTTTACCATACCTGGTAACCCATACGGTTTACCCCGTATTCTTGCACAGGAAAAATAAGTTTTCAGATCCATACGGAGTACAGCCGTTTCAGTACGGGCAAAAAAAAGTGGTTTATCTTTTTGTGTTTCTCCCTTGTGATGGGACTTTGTAGGATGAACGTTGAGATTTATAAGGGCACGGGGTGACCAATAAGGTCTGAATTGGTCTGTAATAAGATAGGCACTGATAAGGGGTTGACAAGTATGCTTTACTCACACATATGTAAAAAAATAAATTGGGACGCGACAACATTTCAGCACTTTCTCTTATCATCGAACAAGGCCATGTGTTGAATGCCTGAGATTGTAACGCTCCTCTCAATTAAAACGCAGAAGCATATCAGTGCAAAGTGACACGAGATTAACACGATGTGGCACTAAAAGTCACGCGGTCCAATGCAAGTTGAACACACAAAGTGAATTTGCGAGTAAGCCTTTGATGTTAGGTCATCCCCACACCATTCATCTCATCCCATCACACTCTGCACTCTGCCAAAGAGGCCGCCAATCAGAAACGCATTTTCGGTCAACCCAACCCAGGACGGTGGGGGCGGGGACGCTCTCTGAGTCGAGCAGTCAATGAGACGTTCATTGTGAGCCAATTATGGCACAAATTAGAAGCTAATCAGAATTCGGCCTCAAAAATGAAACGGGTGTGAGCAATGGTGACCCGTCTTGCCGACATGCAGACATACACAAATAGGGTCAAGAATGTGCAATGGGATTGTATGTCCCAGTGCAAACTCAAGTGGTCGACTACCGCAGCGTTTGGTGAAAATACGTGCACATTTAAAGGGACCTATCCCTCTTCTTGGTTCTTTCGGTAAAGTCACGTAGAAGGGAAGTAATGAAATAATAAAAATAAAACATAATAAAATAATTCTCACGACGTTTCGGCTACAACGCAAGCAGCCGTCTTCAGGTGAAGAATGAGACTGCCAAGCTTGGAGCTTATATATAAGCTGGGTTGGAGGTGGAAGAGGAGCGCCTTAACAAAAGGATGTGCACACCAAGAGGAACCCAGCATATTCATGGGAAATGCTTTAAATCGAAATTTAAAGGTACCTTTCCCTGTTGTTGTCTTTGAGATACGTTTGTTTTGACTCATCAGCCTGCAGTATGCACCTTCTTACACCATTGTGTCAGCATTTGTGTGTTGTTTCCGTGTGTCTGACACTCATCGGATACCCACAATTAGCACGGTTTAAGATAATATGCTTATATCTACGTACACACATACTTGCCTAGAAGACAAATATCTCCTGCAACTACTTAAAGGCTGTATGAGACCAACTATATACATACAGACAAACATGCACGTGGATACAAAGATCCCCTATGTTGCCTTTTCGATTGTTGGGGCAAGTTATCTTAGTGATAACCTATTAAGGTTAACGAGTAAGTTGTTAGGCCAGCAGCACGCGAGGCCACTTGTCTCCAAAGTGATGATTTTTACACACCGCGCCAGGTACTCATATGAGGCTGAGTCGACTTAGCGGAGGCCCGGAACCCGTTCAGATGTCGTGACTGGTGTTGGCCGTGAGCAGGGATCGAACTCGCGTCATAGCACTAACCGCTGCACTAACACATATGTACACATTCATTTTTGTCCATGCAAACATACATACATGCACGCATACGTACATAAGACAACATGAGATAATTGACACCATTTTGACAATCCACTGCTATATGACGGCCTTTCACACACCGTGTCAGTCAAGGGAGATGTTTGATGAAATTTGGCCATATTGATCAGTTTAAGTTGGCAAAGGTGAGGAACCGCTGAAGGGTTGAGATGTCACCCTCTGTTCACCTTACCCATGGCCAGGAATCAAACTCGGTTGGCCGGGCTCACAGTGCAGAGTGCTAACTGCTGTGTTATGCGGATGTTCTCCCGCCGTTCTGCATGGCTTTCCTTTATCTTTCTGCAGTTTCGCCTCAGAACAACATAACCCGTCTTGGCCAAACATCCACATTTCTGAAATATTACCTGTAAATTACTCAATTGACATTACACAGGAGTAATATCTGCCCCGTGCAGCGAAAATTTAGTAGGACCCTCATGAAAAAAAAATGTGTTGTGATTCTCTTAGTGAGGCTTTCGTGGTTAATCGAACGTATTAATAGTAATAATAATAATCGTAGAGCCGCACTTACCTAACGTCCTCTTCGTTGGCGAAAATAACGACGGCACGGGCAGCTGATGTTTCCAGCAGACGGCGGATGATCTTGTCAAAGTCCCGTGGCTTGGAGTCTCTTGCTATCTTCATCGACTGGGCGATGCACACTCCACCTGCCAGACCAATTAGGAAGATGCGATGCACAAATCGTAGCACTTACCGGGCTAATTAAACCATTGTGAATGGTAGCCGTTTGATTGGATTTTTCATTCCAGACCAACCTCCCACCTCTGGGACAACCGGCGTACCTATTGCGGCAGTACTTAAGGAGCCAACCGCTTGAAATTACGGCTCTGTTAATTGGCCACATCAGGTGTCATAACCAACACAGATTAAATAGAAGCTCCCGTTTATTTTCATAGAGCAGTCAATTGTTGTCAATATATAATCTGCGTGTCAATAATCCGAATTTTCTTGCATAAGCCTACCTGTAAAAATTACCATGAAGCCTTTACTTGTTGTGGTGTTATAATAATAATATTATGTCTTTTATCCTTTTAGAGCCCAGTCTCATATGGTGTTCGACCAGATGACGCCAAAAAGCCGTCATCTGGTCGAACACCATGAGACTGGGCTCTAAAAAAAAAAGCTGTCTCTGGTGTAGACCAATCAATTTCAAGGACAATGCATACATTATCAGAGTGCTGTTTTTGTTCGCGTTTTGACCACAGGTATTGTGGTTAATGCAAACATGATCCCTTGTAAAACGGTGTCAGTTTTGTGCCAGATAAAAGGGTAAAATAACCTATTATTATATTTTGCTACTGGCAAAGGAGGTCTCTTGTTGTGGTGTGTTATACGACTGGAACAACATTCATTCTAACATCAGAACTAGAAAGGTGATGGCAAATCAGATAATACCGGATCAGAACGAATGCTTTGTTATTACAACAAGGCAATGTAGCATCATACAGTGGTTTGAGTTTTTAATACGAGTAATTCAAAGAAATATGCATCTATGCGAACATGTCAAGAAAGTATTTCAATTAAAAAGAAGCACATTATTTGTTTACACTCTCTTAAACCAATTATGTCTTTACCTTTTCAATTCCCTATAATAAATATATATTTACATTTAGTTACAACCCATTCAGGTTACCCTGCACATCATCACGATGCTGAAACGCGGGCAAAGAGGTAAGCTGAGAGATTCTGGAGACAGCTGAACCAGAGGTCGCAACCGGGTACCCGATACCCGTACCATACCCGATACCCGGCTACCCGTACCCGGCCGGGTACGGGTACGGGTACCCATTTGTGACCCTGGTGTGGCCGGGTACGGGTACGTGAGTCACTGGTGAGTAACTGTTTGTCACTCATTTCCCAACGTCTTGTCTCTTCTCACAATTCAAGTTCTTAGAATCAACCCACCCGCGCCTGCAACATGGCTTCATCCCAGAGTTCGCAATCAGGTACCTTACCCGTACCTGGCCGGGTACGGGTAGGGTACGGGTACCCGTTTGCGACCCTGGTGCGGCCTCTGAGCTGAACCCATAGCACAAAAAAGATAAACCCAATAATACACGATTTAATGTCCATGCATCATTATGACATAAAAATAAACATGACATTAGGGAAATGATTATAAATTGAGGACAAAAAATTGCAGTTTAAGATGAATGTAATTATAATTGATCCACCTATAGTGATGTTTATATTATTTACGGTAAAAAAATAAATGCGCGTTTACGTATTTAAGTACATTTTCAAACAAGTTTCCATTAATTAGTGACTCACTTTGCATGAGAAACAGCGGCTGTCTGTGAGGTCAGGAAGCCTTGCATTCGTCAATGCTGTCAGCAGAGATTATGGCATGTTTCTTATATTTTGAGTGACTTAATAGCCGTCTATTTGCATATAACCCACAGTTCAATACGGTATATGCAGGTGATCCTGTCAGGAACAAAAAAAACAAGGCTTGCCTGATGTTGTGCAATGAATGTTAAAGAGCCTAGTATATCATGGGCTGCAAGGTAAAATGAGCTTTTACGAGTTTAATCATCATCAGCCATGGTCAACCCACTGCTGGAGGAAGACCTCCCATATGCGCCACCATCTGTCACGATCCTGCGGTGCGGTAATCCACCGAGCACACGTGGATGTCCTCTTGGATACGTTGCATCCCTTGGCACCAAATTCCACCGTTAATATTGACAATCAGCTGGCAAGGGATTGCTCGAGGCTGCTCGCGGGACTCATTTGAGGCCTTTTGGTGTCCGTGCTTGTGCATTCGTGTCCTCTACCCCGTGGAACTCTCTACGTCATCGCGTCAGAGAGCGAGAGTGTGAAGATGTTTCAATCTGCACGCAAAGACGAAACCGTCTGACCGTGGGTTTTTCCTGAGTTGTAATTTGTGCTGCACGGCTGATATGTCTTCAACGTATCATATGTATTTATGTTGACTTAATTTTTAGTGCAAAAGCACTTTGATACACGCAACTATCAGAATTGATTATTGATTGATTGATCATGCCTTCTAACAATATATCCTGCACAAGCTCATTATTTTGTATTAATGCTTGGAATGGCGGTCATTAACATGCACATGTTCTCTTATCCACGTATGCATTCCTCCTTGTCTCCCAATGTAAATCCTAGCTTGATAGCCCAAATTAAAAGCAGACTTTAAATGTTTCTAAAACAGCTCACAATATAATCCTGTTTTTGAGGCAAAATAAGCCCCCTGCTCTGAGGTTTATAAAATAAGTACCACCTAGTGAGACGTCACCAATGAAAATGATTACCCCTGTCATGGCATTGCGAAGTTCCTTCACTGGCTCAGGGCTGTAATCAAGAAGTGAGCACCATCTTCACGATGTTTAACAGAAAAACCACGTTGGCTTTTTTTTTGTAAAAAAAAAAAACAATATTTAACCATACTCTTCTTAAACAATTGCCAGATAAATTTCGATTTAAAGCTTTCGTGACTGCAGGGATTCATCTTCTTGGTTCTTTCGGTAAAGTCACGTAGAAGGGAAGTAATAAAATAATAAAAATAAAACATAATAAAACAATTCTCACGACGTTTCGGCCACAACGCAAGCAGCCGTCCTCAGGTGAAAACCAGGTCCGTCGAGGCGACAGAGTCTGAATGAAACAGCACACGAGCTTGGAGCATATATATAAGCTGGGCGCATTGACAAAGGAATTTGCATATCAAAAGGAATTTAGCATATTTATGGGAAATGCAGGAATGTGATTAGTACTGCATATGCATGTGCATTATGCAGGATTAACAGGAATGTATGGTGTCGTAATTGTACAGTAAACATATAGCAGTATGATACACATTAGGGTGGGTAGAATAATACATAGTGTTATATTAAAATGGATAAGGCAGCAACTGCAACAGCAGCAGCAAGTGCAGCAGCAGCAGTAAGTGCAGCAGCAGCAGCAACTGCAGCAGCAGCAGCAACTGCAGCAGCAGCAGCAGCAGAAACTGCAGCAGCAGCAGCAACTGCTGCAGCAGCAGTAACTGCAGCTCCCTTTGATGCTGTTAATCCTGCATAATGCGCATGCATATGCAGTACTAATCACATTCCTGCATTTCCCATAAATATGCTAAATTCCTTTTGATATGCAAATTCCTTTGTCAATGCGCCCAGCTTATATATATGCTCCAAGCTCGTGTGCTGTTTCATTCAGACTCTGTCGCCTCGACGGACCTGGTTTTCACCTGAGGACGGCTGCTTGCGTTGTGGCCGAAACGTCGTGAGAATTGTTTTATTATGTTTTATTTTTATTATTTTATTACTTCCCTTCTACGTGACTTTACCGAAAGAACCAAGAAGATGAATTGCCAGATATTCTTAGAAATCAGCAAGAAGGACTTTTCAGACCAAAAAAAGCATGGGAAGTTATTAGGATTACCTTATTATTGTTTTAACTTTTTTTCCCCCGAACCTCCAATTCGCACGGTTGGCTAGGAAAGGTGCGAAATAAGTTCAACATATTTGTTGAGTCATTTTTGAAATGTGGCCATGATGCCATTGTGTACAACCTAATCAAGATGCACTCAAAAGTAACGGTGTCACCCTGCATTTGCTAGTGGAGTGGCCTCCACAAGATGGCACTCTAGTGGGTATTTGGCCTACTCTTCCCAGAGATCTTGTATGCATGTTGAACTTCTTTCGCACCGTACGTAGCCAACCGTGCTGAAAGAGTACCCACACTTTGCCCAACCGCACACGACCTGCCGATCAACCGTGGCTGTATCTGTTTATACCGCTGGATGGACAAATGTGGAGATTAAGAAACGTGCACATGTGTTGCAACTGTCGTGCCAAGAGATCTAACCGGTGACCTCGAAGTTGCCATCGCAGCGTGCAATGCCTGTGAATGGCACTGATCGAAAAGTATGCCCGTAGGCAGAATTAGAGGACTCCCGTTTGACTCTCGCCGGCGATAAGTTCACTCGGGGCATGTAAGTTAATTTGTTTTGCAGTTTGTGTTAAACGTTCTCCTCCATACCCGCATCCATTCCATCCTTCACATCTCCACGTCTTCTCTCCATATATATACAAAAAAAAATCCATGTGGGGCAATGAAGCCCACTCCCCCCCCCCCCCTTCTGTGTATTATAGACACCCACCCTACCCCTCCAACCCTTGTGTTCGATCCAATTTGTGCTCTGTCCTGGCCTCGTGTTGAGCTATACCAAAACAACAACAAAAACAACAGAGGCCTCGCGTTTGAATTCAGATGCTCTCCACTTGGGCAACGATCACGTACGAAACGATGCAAGGGAATTAGTCGCGGCGTGTTACGAGTGAGGGTTTGCTCGGATTTTGGCCTCCTCCTCCTCCTCTCCTCGTTATTCTACCACCGTGCCACGGCAGACCCACTGCTTTACTGCAGACTTCGTCGCCAGATGGCCAGGAATGGCCCGGGCAGCAACGGGAAGCTTGCAAATGCCATTAAGCACTGCTGCAACCTTCTTCACTTACCTCAACCCCACACGACGCACACTTATACCCCCACCATAGCTGACAATGCATATCCACCCCCGCTCCTTGCTATACACCATGCGCTGTTTACATCTCTTCGGGCAAATTTCCAGTCAGGTAACGTAAAAAAAAACCCGCACAACGACTGCTTGGAGCGCAACAACTAC